ATGCATCAAAGCCTGTCTACAGTCCTTAGGTAACTGTTAGCTTTCCTGTGACGTTAAGCTGGGTTTTATATTACTTGCAGGCTCTAAGGAAATATTTCACTGTGATTGTATGAATACAAATCCTTGAAGGAGTCAGCTTATATGTTTGATTGTATCATAAGCACACAGAATAACATAGAAAATAGATGTCCACGAAGTAGGGTCAGCCATGTTCCCAGGATCATGTTCAGTTTGAGTCATATCATGTCAGAAGGACCCAAAAGAGATAAAGAACCCTGCTTAAAGCTACCTGCTGTAACTAACCCTTCTAAGACATTCCCAGAGAGAGACCTGGGCAAAATTATATCTTCACACTTTTATAATTAAACTCTGTGAATGAATGGACACATTTTACTATCACTTCTGTATCACAAAGGGAACCATTTACAGACTTCCTTCATTTCAAGAGGAAGAAAAGGCCTCCTACTTCCATTAGCTCAGCTCTGGCTTCTCTAAAGTAGTAGTTTCTGAAGACACTAACCCAGGGGTGTACTGTCAACCCCCTGGGTCAGATCAGGCCAATGGGCCCAGGGACCTCCTCCCTCCTCACGCCAGATCCAGGAGAGGCTGAAACGGACACCACAGGCAGAGGAGTCCAGCCAGGACAGGTGGCACATGTAGCATGGGACCGAGACCAGCTGGTTGAGGAGCTGGGCCACATGTGGTGTCCCCGGCACGTGGTCAAGGACTGTGCTGCACAGGGTGCCTGCTTCAGCCAGTCCAGGACCCACACTTCAGTGGCGCCCACATTTGGCGCACACCCCAGGTCCTGCCTGAGGGGCTGGTCCAGGTCAATTCAGATTCAGGGGCAGCACCAGGGGCCGGAAAACAGTAATCTAACCTCTCTGTAAAAATAGGAAGAAACCCCCACCTCCCCCAACTGCAAAGGGGGCTGAAAGGGTGAGTTAATGAACATTATCAAAGTGCTTTGAGATCCTCACAAAGGAAGTAAGTCTATGCAAAGATTATAGTATGCCAAAAGATTATGGTGATCTTGGTGCTTCTCCTTGCAGATTAATAGCAGCAGACAGAAAGAGTAAAAGTGAAGCTGTTACAAACTTTGTGTGAATCAAAAGAGAAAAAAAAGAAACTCAAGCTTCTTCCTTTGCTCAGGTCAGTCTCATTCACTTTGGGGGGGTTAGTATATTACATTGTGTCACACATTCAGATTTTGGGGGATTATGTGGTGTCGGCCACTTTTAGAGAAGAGCAGCATCACTTGAGTGAAGGGAGTTCCCCTTATGGAAAGGTAACCCAATTAGGTTGGACTTTGTTGGTTGGTTTTCCCTGCACTTTTGGCTTCCAGTGGAGGGTGGGAGCCTTCTCCTTTGCAGCCCCACTGACCTCCTTGCCTGGGCCTCCGCTGAAGTTGTAATCCTGTGTTTGTGGGATTCCAGCCAGTTGCTATGGACATGACGACTTCACTGCAGAACCATGTAGCCAGAGGAGACAAAAAACCTGGAATAGGGGCCAAATGTTTCTTCTCTGCTTTCTTGAGGAAGGATGCAAAAAACAGTGGATCTGTAGGGCTGGGGGAGGGAGGAGGTGAGGAAGAGGCCCGTAAAAGAAGTGGCCATGACTGTTGTTAAGAAAAACAGTCATGTGTTGACATTGCGCTTCCAAGAATCTGTTCACTCCATCTAGCTGTAAGTAAGAAATATGAATCAGGAGGAGAAATTTGGCCTGGGGTCCCAGGACTAGAATTAGGAAACTGCCAGTGATTTACCAAATGTCCTTGGGAAAATCTCTTAGTCTGTATCTGTTTTCTTACCTGTAAGATCATTACAAGAAAGAGTTCAGTTTGTATTGAGAAATCATGTTTTCTGATTTGGCAATGAATTCGACTCAAGTAGACCCTCGGCCCAGCACAAACCCATGCAGGAGTCAAAGCAGCTCCATGTACCAGACTAGAGTCTGTCAATGGCATGGGACTTTGGAGTATATTTCCCAAGGGCACCTCTTCTGGTCTTCAGACTTGAAAATGCAGAGCTATAATTGTAGGTTACAGGTTACATCCTAGTCATGGGCAGAGCTGGAAATGATATGAGGCTTTCTGCCTTGCTAGGCAGATGTTCAGATACAGAGTCTCTACTGAAAGGCTCTCTGTGCTTGTTGGATGGAAGCCCGGAGAAGGAAAAAGGTTCCCAGAGAAGGAGTCATCTGGAAGAAAATCTCCGCTGGAGAGAGGTGCAAAGCCCAGAAGACAAGGGCTGAGACAAGAGCCTATGGGCAGTGATACTGTTTGAAACCTTCAGTTCTATATTAATATAGTAAGGCCCTGAGCAAGGCCTTTAGATGGGCTACTCCACTGTCTGCTTCTGCTCCAAACTTTCCAGACCAGCAGAATGAGACTAATAATACACTAGTTCAGTTGTGCAGTTGCTTTTCAGAAGTCTATGGGCAATGCAAAACTACTAGTTATAATGTTCATTTCATGTGTTCTTTGGTAAAGCCATGTCCAGCAGCTTCATCAGGTACTGGGAACAGAGCAGGAGGACTTAAAAAGAGAGGCAGAAGGAAGACTAGAGTAATGGAAATAGCTCACAGCTGAGTCCTCTCTGGAGGGAAGGAAGAGGCAAGAGATCATTCCAATTTATTGATTTCCTACTAACTAAAGGCTGATATCAAAGATGGAGTTCATGAGCCGAGACTAGAGCTAGCCCCACTGAAAGAAAACCCAGCACTTTCCCAAAAGCCAGGGAAGCCCCCTCCCTACATCCATCCCCCTTCACTTCCCCATCTCCGGCTGGTAGGTTTAGTCCTCTAGCTTGCAAGTGTCTTAAATTTATCTTAAGCCTAGCATTTATGTCCAAACTTGGGCATATGCACAGCTCAGATACCCAGTGCACTTCTTAACTCTTAGCAACAGGTCTTCTGTTTGCCAAACGTAACTTTTCCCATTTTTATACATGTTTTATTACCTTTGTGCACACTGCAGCCTTTACAGATTGGCCCAGGGGAGACTGTAGACATTTCTGTCTGCTATCATTATTTATTTTAAAAAAACAGCAATCTCTAATGTAGTCACTGACCTGCAGCATTAATGATGTCAGAATGACTTATCATGATCCAATCCCTTCACAAATTAGGGACTTTGATGGTGATCTCACTTACATCAAATGTGAAATGGCAGTAGGCCCAGTGAATCAGTGGAATTAAAGTGATGTACTGGTTTCAGTCATCTTCCTGCTGATATACTCTGGTGTGAACAGGACCACAACTATGGATGGAAGCATCCTCTGACAAAAAGCCACATGTTGCCCAGCTTGAGGGAACCTTAGTTTCTAGGGCAAACTGAGTCGGGATTGAGTTTAGAAACTTTGAGCTTGAGGGCAATTTCACTTATATCACTTTTATACCTGTGTGCCTCCACCAGCGTGGCATGACTCCTGACTGATGCCAGGTTCCAGCTCTTTTCATTTAGATAACACACAAAGGGTATGTTTGTGAGAGAGCCAGTGATTTCCTTCCATGAATTAGTATAGTGAGGCCAACCCTGGTGGCAGGCAGTTTTACCACCCTTAGTAACTCAGTACAAATCTTTTAAGTCGGATGGATCTTCTAACTCTGTATGGATCTAAGGAACTCCAAGAAATGCTTTAGGGCTGTTAGTTGTAGCCGTGTTGGTCTAAGGACACGGGCAGACAAGTGATAGCTTTTATTAGACCAGCTAAATGGTTGAGAAAATTGTCAGACAAGGTTCTTTGGGTAGATGTGATATCTTTTGCGAGACCAACTCAAGAGCTGGATAAAAGTGATCTTTGCAAGCTTTCGGGTGTGCCCAAAAAGCTTGCAAAGAACAATTTCCCCAACTATTGAGTTGGTCTCGTAACAGATATCACATCTACCCGAAGAGTCTTGTCTGTCCAAGAAATGCTGACACTCTGCTTCATAGACAGGGACACTGTACGGCACAAGATGACAGTGAAAGCTTCCCTCTCTCTCTCTCTCTCTGTCTCTCTCTCCCTTTTTCAGGAAACACGGGAGCCCGCTGTAGACCCTCCTCTCGGTTAACCACAGCATGTACGAAAGAGTATGCCCCGCAGTTCCCCCGAGGAACAGCTTTCCATGGCCAATTACTCACCAGAACAGGAAAGGATAATGATTATATTCTAGACATTTCAAGAGGAACGAGTGCCTGCATTTGCCCTCTGCTATTCCTTAGTCTGAACATCTCTTTTCTCTCCCCGCACCCCCTCAACTCTGAGCCCTGTTGCTTTCCTTGCAGAAAAAAAAAAAAAAGAAAGAAAGAAAAGCAGCATCACAAGCACGATGCTGGAGCAAACGGCCCCAGGCAAGCAAGCCCTGACCGGGAATCTCAGGAAAGTTTGGGCCAAGTTTGCTCCTGGGGAAGAGTTCAAAAGGCGGCGAGGAAAACCCAGCGGGCAGGAAGCGGGGGAAGGGGAAGCGGCTCAGCCTAGGGGGCGCCGCGGCTCCTACCTTGCCGTCCGGCGGGCCGAGGTTCTGCAGCC